TACTTACAGGCTATGAGAATCAAGGAAGGAAGAGAGGGAAGGAGAAAGGAAGAGAGAGGAAGAAAGAGGGGAAGGACAAATTCCTACAATCACAGCTCATAGCCTAATGGGAGATGTAGGGGAGAAGGTAGGGAGAGAGATCATTATCTGGAAAACATAAGTTATATGGGTTAACTTCAGGGGAGAGCACTAGTCTAGTATGTATGAGGTCCTGGGTTTCACCCCCAGCACTGCAAAAGAGCAACAACAATAATAATAATCTTTTAAAAAAATTTTGTTGTTGTTGTTGTAGTTAAACACAATATCTCCATTTTATTTATCTATCTATATGTGGTGCTAAGGATCGAACCCAGTGCCCTCCGATTTTTCCCTGACTGGTCTCAAATTTCTAGGCTCAAATGATTTTCCTGACTCAGTAGCTGAAACTAAAGGCATGCATCACCATACCTGGTTAATAATAACCTTTAAGGGGATAAGATTGTCACTCAGTGGTAAGAATGCTTTCCTAGTGTGCACAAGGTTCGGGGTTTGACTCCCAGCACTGCAAAAAAACAAAAACAAAAACAAAAAACAAAAAAAAACCCACCTCATTTAAAATAGTGGTAAGATCCTGGTGAACTGGCGCATCACTATAATCCCAGCAGCTCGGGAGGCTGAGGCAGGAAAACTTCGAGTTCAAAACCAGCCCCAGGGGGCTGGGGATGTGGCTCAATTGGTAGCATGCTCACCTAGCATGCGTGAGGCACAGGGTTCGGTTCTCAGCACCACATAAATGTGAAATAAAGATACTGGGTCTACCTAAAAACCAAAGAAATAAATATTAAAAAAAAAAAAAACAGCCCCAGGAATTTAGCAAGACCCTAACCAACTTGTTGAGATCCTGTCTCAAAATAGAATATAAAAAGGGCTGGGGATGTGGCTCCATGTTTTAATGCCCTTGGGTTCAATCCCTGATACCCCCCCCCACACACACACACACAAACCCTCTCTGATCAGATGCAGTGGTATACACTATAATCCCAGTGACTCAGAACACTGAAGCAGGAAAATCACAAATTCAAGGCCAGCCTCAGCAACTTAGCAAGACCCTATCCCAAAAACTAAAAAGGGCTGGGGTGGGGGTGACTCAGTGGTAGAGTACTCATGGGTTTAATTCTTAGTACTACAAAAAAGAAAGAAAGGAAAAAATATATCTCTGATGGCCGGTAAAAGCAGGGAGATGTTGCACTTCTACATTCTTTCAGGAGAGAGAGGACAGTGGTTCAAAATGAGAGGAAGATCACTAAAGTGAAGTGGACAGATTAGAGAGTTATTTTGGAGGTAGATGATCTAGTAAGGTATTGCCAGCATCCACAGCAAATGAATTCTAAAATCTTGATGAGTTTTTACATCAAGCCTAATCAAGTGACTCTGGAGGAGACAGTGGCTCTCCTCCAAGCAGTAACTCAGGGATTCAGGGATTCTGCGTCCTGGGACGCTTCCAGCTTCTGGGGCCCCAGAGTCTTCTTTATCCAGCCAGACAAAGAGTGTGAAGAAGACATACGTGCTTCTTAACCACATGGGCCAGGTTGTTGCACACATGCTATTTCTGTTCCATGAGTGAGAACTCGTCCTGTGGCCTCACATGAATAAAGGGGGACTAGGAGATGTGGTTTCTTTGTGGGCAGCTACTGCCTGTCAACAGCTCTGTGCTATGGAAACAGAACACAGATCATTGATGGTCAGCTGGTCAGCTGGGTCAGGGAGCATCATCAGGCTCTCTTGTCGGTTGGATATTGTTATTGAAGGAACGTGAGGTGAGGCTCCTATGATGATCATTTGGCTTTTGGCTTGAGCAAAGGTGGAAAGTAGTCATTAACCAAAATGGAAAGTTGAGAAAGAAGCAGATTTTTTACTGCAGGTAGGGGAAAACTAAGAGTTCCACTTTGCATACACATTGTGTGAGCTGCTCATGACACATCCAAAAGCAGATGTGGGAAAGGCAGTTGGAGACATGAGCCAGGGATCCAGAGGAGTCAAGACTGAAGATTTAAATACTCCATTTTCTCCCCTCCCCCATCCCGGGCTCCCGGCGTCGCGGGGGCCCAAGGAGGGCGACCCAGGCTAACGACTGGCATCTCCCAGGCGACCGGCTCCGCATCAAGATGGCGGAAGATAAAGACAAGGAAGAGTTAGCACTAGCAGAATTTCACAAAAAAATCAAAGAAGCATTTGAAGTGTTTGACCATGAGTCGAATAATACAGTGGATGTGAGAGAAATTGGGACAATTATCAGGTCATTAGGATGCTGCCCTAGTGAAGGAGAGCTACATGATCTGCTTGCAGAGGTAGAAGAAGAAGAACCCACTGGATATATTCGATATGAAAAATTTCTTCCAGTGATGACCAAAGTACTTCTGGAAAGAAGGTATAGACCAATTCCAGAAGATGTCCTTCTTTGAGCTTTTGAGGTTTTAGATTCTGCTAAACGTGGGTTTCTTACTAAGGAAGAACTCATCAAATATATGACTGAAGAAGGTGAGCCTTTCTCCCAAGAAGAAATGGAAGAAATGTTGTCTGCTGCAATCGATCCAGATTCAAATTCAATTAATTACAAGGAGTATATAACAATGATGGTGATAGATGAAAATTAAATGTTTTAAACCCTTAATTTCTAATTGAAAAGATAGTTTGAAAATGGCTTGTCCTTGTTAATTTTGCATTTTATTTTGTAATTCTTTTATCTGATATCAATGCTTGTGACATGATTATTTCAACATATTTTGTTTTCTAAAGATGATCATAACAAAAACTCTTTTTTAGTACTGGGAATAGAATCCACTGAGCTTCATTCCTAACTCTTTTTACATTTTTCATTTTGAGACAGGGACTCACCAACAGGCTGGCCTCAAACTTGCAATTGTCTTGCCTCAGACTTCGGAGTAGCTGGGATCATAGGTTTGCCCTGCTCACCTGGATGATCATAATAATTTTAAATTAAACATAAATGTATTTAAAATGTCCAAACTTATGGAATGACATACTGCTAATTACTTAAAAACTAATCTTAAAACAGTTTAACATTAAAATATATTATTGTTTATTTTCTACAATAAACATGTTACCTTTTAATTAACTAAACTGAGAAAATTAATAATAACTATAATGAGCCAAAGTTTGGCATATAAAGGTCTTGAAAGAGGGCAGAATGACCACAAATTGAAAATGAGTATCAGTGTAATGAAGGCTTCTTTTTAAAGAACAATAAACACTTCAGTAATCTGAAAAATAAATAAATAAATAAATATTCCATTTTCTCCTCGGCCCAGTGGTTTCCGAACCTGACACTTCCTCCTACAGTGGCCTCCTCATTGCCACCAGCCCTCTGTGACTTTACTACATCAGTATAACTTCACTCTCCTATTATGGATAACATTTGTCATTTATTAAATGATAGTTCTTACTATCATATGAATTCTCTCATTAACACAGTGTTTTTGAGTTTTCGGACTTTTTTTTTTTTTTTCTTCTGCAGCACTGGGGACTGAATCCGGGGCCTTGTGCAGGCTGGACAAGCGCTCCACTTCTGAACTACAACCCCATCCTCAACACACAGTTCACTGAATGCCTACTATGTGCTGGGTAGTGATGATGAGCAGAGAAATAGCCAGTCTGTGCCTCCTGCGTATCGCATTCTCGTAGAAGCCTGATAATAAACAAACGGTTAGATAGTGTTTCAAGTGCCCTGGAAAACAGGAGCACAAGATGAATGAGTTAAGTACCAGTGTGGTGGAGGATGGAATTACTAGAAGTAAGGAGACTTTTATAGCAAGGCAACATTTGAGCAGAAACCTTAATGAAACTGAGGGAGCAAATCACATATGTACCATGGGGGGAAGACTGTGCTGTGGCAGGTGATGGCAGAGCGAGTGCAAAGGCCCAGAGGCATGACCCAAAACCAATCAGCAGGCTGGAGCTGCTGGACTAAGATGGGAGTGGGGGAATAATGGTAGAGATGAGGTCAGAGAGGTGGGGGGAAGGGCAGGTCACATAGCAGAGTGGTTTTTCCACCAACATCTTTGTGTAACTCGAGAAGGAGGGAGAAAAACAAACCTATTTCTCGGTGCAGAAATTATTGCAAAGAAAGCAATGCTCCATCAGGAACTTCCTGTGCAGTTCCCAAAATGAAACACCTTCAAAGTGGAGGATTTTCGACCAAAATAAGAAAGGGGAACCGTTTTGTAATGCGGAGCACAGAATACAGGGTTCTCTCCTGGTGCAGCAGGTTTTCTACACAGTTAATTACAGCCACATGTGGAGCACCGCAGGATGGCATTTTTAGCAAGTGCCATCAAAGACCTGGACAAACGATTCCCATCTCTCATGCTCAGAGCAAAACCGATTAGCCCAGGAGGATAGCAACAAAAACACTGCTCTGAGAAACACTGTTTTCCAAATTTCCTCTCCAAAACCCAAGCCAGAGGCCTTTCATTAGCTTGATTTTTGTAAATAACAGAAAAAAAGTGGGTTTAAATAGAAAGAAGAATTTGGTTTTTTTCAAGGAAGACATAAGTTTAGGTAAAAATATTTTAGGTAATATAAAAATATTTAGGTAATTTATAAAGAACTGAAATGTATTTCTTACAGTTCTAGAGGCTGGGAAGCCGAAGACCAAGGCGCTGACACTGGTGTTAGGTGAGGGTTTCTCTCTGCTTCCAAAATGGCGCCTTGTCTCTCAGGCCTGTTCAATTGCCAGGGTGGTTCCCTCCTGATATACCCACTGTACTGTGGGACATGAAACAAAAACACCCGTGTGGGGTCTGGGCCTTTCCTTCATTGATCACAGTGGGGCCTCAATGGAGCTGCTCCAGTGACCAGCAAACCTGTGGACAGGACTTCATAGTTGCTGTCCATGAGGTTATCTTCTTTAATGCTGACATTTCTGAAATTGGTCCCATTTTCTGGTTTATAGAAGGGTGTGTCCACAGGACAGGGCTGGGTCTTAGTTCCCCAGTATCTAGCCTCCCTTTCTAGCTGGGGATATTCTCCATGAATTGTGTCTACAGAAGCCAAAAGGAGCCAGAAAGTCCTACCCTGGGGCTAAGAGATAGGCTCAGCCAGCCTGGTGTTCTTGCCCAGGGTCTTAACTCTTGAGGGAATGGCCTAAGGCTTGGTGGTTATGACATCGAGTCCTAGAATTGTCACACCGGCAGAGATGGAGACTCAGCGCTGGGAGTCAGGAGTTTATCTATACCAGGGGACTCTGGGCATAGACTACGCTATCTAACCTCCCAACCACTTGCTGAGTCTGGTTTTCTAGTCTTCTCATCTGTTCTTCAGCTAGCTACCCAGTAAGTTCCCAATAAACTCCATTTCCACTTATATTAACCAGATACAGTTTCTGTTGTCTATAACCCAAACCCTGGCTTAATTTTTAAGCAATTTGCAGGCCCCCATTAAAAAACAAAATTTCCCTTGGACTCCAAGAGTTGACTTATATTAGTTTTGTTCACATATGTACATCATAAAACCAACAATAAACTCTTCAGAGGCTTGCAGCTTTAAGCCACTATAAAACACAAACACATTTGCAAGCTAAATACAAGTAACACTACCAAATCTGCACTGTTGAAATGAACATTAACTCAATATGACAGATGATGCTGGTCTGTGAAACTAAATAGCTATTCATTATGTGGATGTGAAACTCACTGACCTGGGCTCCTGTGGCTGTATTTTTTTTTTCTTTTTTATTGCCCTGGGCCACTTGGTAACTGAGCTCTGCACCTCTCCTCTCTGTTTTGTTCATGTACTTCCTGTGTATACTTTGTCTTCAGGGAATTTGCTCTTTGCTGGGTACATCATTCATAAATGAAGACTACCGTGTTCTTCTGTCATTTAGTTGGGACAATTAAAATTGTTTTACTTGATTCCAAGGCCAATGCAAATGCCAGGCCTGAAAAGTTGTCCACATGACCCAATATTTGCTTATATCAATGCTTTAATGATAAATATTAAAAAAATACTAAATTAAAAAAAAATCTCATAGACAGGGGCTGGGGTTGTGGCTCAGTGGTAGAGCACTCGTCTAGCACGTGCAAGGCCCTGGGTCTGATCCTCAGCACCACATAAAAATAAATAAATAAAATAAAGGTATTGTGTCCAACTACTTCTAAAAAAAATAAATAAATGTTTAAAAAAGATCTTATAGGCAACTCAGAAGTTCCAATGACTATATTTGTAAGCTCCACTTTCAGAAATCATGTAGTTAGGTGCATAAGCTTTGGAGTTTAAAGTAAAATCCATGGTTTGGGATCTCAACTCTACCCCTTACTAGTCTTAACAATCTTGAGCCAGTTATTTTCTCTCTGAAAGTTCATTTTCTTACCTGTAAAACGAAAACAGGATTTATCTTTTAGGAAAGTTGTATTAAACAAGGATCTATGTAATTGTTCAATAATTGGTACTAATTATTGTTACTGATGTCCTAGTTGACATTCAGATTGTTTAACACCTCTGTCCAAGTCCATACAGCCAGATGGTCACAGAAATGGAACAGGGACCAAGTTCTCTGAACCCTCTGAACACCGTATGTGATGGTTTGAATTTGTGCCCCAAAAGTTTGTATGCTGAAAACATAATCTCCAAAATCGTATGTTAATGGTATTTGGAGGGAGGCTTTGGGAGGTATTTAGGAGGAGGTGAGGTCCTGAGGATAGGGCCCCCATGATGGTATTAGTGGCTTTATAAGAAGAGGAAAGAACTAGCCCACGGCTTCTGTCTCACCGTGTGATGCCTTTTGTCAGGTTATGATGCAGCAAGAAGACCACATCAGATGCTAGGCAGATGCTGGCACCATCCTCTTGGACTCTGCAGCCTCCAGAACCTCTATTAACCATAAACCTCTCTTCTTTATAGATAACCCAATCTCAGGTATTCAGTTATAACAACAGAAAACAGACAAAGACACCATATGTGCTGAACAGTATAATTTTAGCCTTAAGGGCAGCTGCCTTCCTTGTAAGGCTGTGCTAAAAGGGAGCTGCTATATCTGAGGGATTTAACCTCTGTAGGAAATAACTCCATCCTTAGGTTAATTCCATGAGTGATCCACCAAAAAAAACTGATAACTTGAATCCCTTATGTGAATTCTTCTGCTCACCCCCTGTTACTTATAGCTGTGATTCTCAAATGAGCTCCCCTGAACTGCAGGTTATTTGTTGAAAACATAAATACAAATTCTCCAGCCCCATCCCAGATATACTAAATCAATGGTGGTGCTCCCACCATTGAAATACCATCTGCCCTGAGGTCCTTATCAGGATATGCCCTTGACCTCCAGAACTATGAGCTAAATAAACTTCTTTTGTTTATAAAGTATTCAGCCTTGAGGTGTTTCATTATAGTAACTGAAAATGGACTAATACACTCCTTATGATGAATTGAGATACCCACAATGATCTTGAGGTGGAAGACGTGCTAAAGATGGTGGAGCAAAATGATAGCAGGAGCTTGGGACATTCATAACATCTTGAGGCCACTGTATCAACTCTACACCTTCATCCCTAGACTCTGGATTATATGAGGCTCACATAAATCCCTTTTGTATTAGAGCCATTATTTTTTCCCCCAAGGGATTAACAACGAAGCCTCTCAAAGGTAAGACTGTCTCTTATTCATCACTGAATCTACAGTGCCTGG